AAGGTACGGCTCAACTTGTAGTAGAACTCATCTCTGTGAAGACGGCTGTTCAAAGAGTTGAATTTGAACAAAAGTGCCAAAATCTCCTGCTTGCTCAAACCTGGTATAGCAGCCACCACGGGGGCGATTCTGAGGATGAAGTTGGTGGGAACCAGCTCGTTGGACGCGTCAGGCACCACTTCTCTAGCACAGAAGGTGAAAACCAGCAAAAGCTCCTTCAAGTCTTCGCTCACATTCTCGCTGTCCAACAAAGCTTGGTCCTCGTTCAGAAGCGACAGCTTGGCACGCTTCGCAAGACTCGTGTAGCTTGTTTTATCAATGTGTGTTTTGACCTGCGCCGTCTTCAAGTACACCACACCACGAAGCTGCTTGGCAATACCGTCCAAAATTGCACTCTCCACGGTCTTCACTTTTCCGCTTCTAATGTAGTCGTTGTTGGTATCTTCCGTTATTCCGGGCCAGATAGAAGGATCTGAGGTGTCCACTCTGGACTTGAGCAGTACGGACACACTGGAAAATACATCAGTGTGCATGTTCATACCGGGTGACCCTAAAAGCTCAGTCTGTCTGATGAAAAGAATAGTAGCAGTTGGAGAGGTGGCATTGTAGATAGGATTCATTACCGGCTTGTCCTCAGGACCTGGAGGAGGCGGTGGAGTGGCGGGGGCAGGAGGCACTTCATTGAGCTCTTCCAGAGAGTTCAATTGGGCTGGAGCGTTCTTCACGTCCGTGGATTCTGCTGCGTTGTCTGCCATTGAAGTCACAGAAGAAAGTATATAGATCCTGGTAACGGTGAGTAGGTTACTTCACGGTACAGTATGTACAGGAAATCCACCCCATTTAACTCTAGACGCTCTTGTCTGCACGACGGCTCGAATCGGATCTTGCATCCAAACGTCTGCGTTTTGGTCCGAGGGCCTTTCTGGACGAGAAAAACAGTAAGAAGTCCTCGCCCAGTTTTCCCTTACCACTATTGGCCTGGCCATTCAATTCGTTCCGGGATTTCAATGCCTTTCTAGATGCAGGCGAGCTTTTCGGGGAGCTACTCTTGTAGGACGAGTCTGGGTTGGATACAATTCTCCATTTGTCGTCGAGAATCTCAAGATCACTCCCATCACTTCTCAGCAGCTTTTGCTTGATGTCTTCAAGTTCAGGTTCAGAATATGAGGGATTGTCACTGTTGATGCGTAGATCTCCCACACTGCGATTGAGCTCTCCGTTACTGTCATCAGCATCTTGAATAACGAAAGGCTCTTCCATTGGAGCAGCCGGCTCTTTGAAAGTCTCCTTCAATCCACTGATAAGGAGCTCCGATTGCATGTATTCTGAGCTCGGGTCAAAAAAGTTGAACTTGTTCACGAACTCCTGGATCGCGAGCTGCTTCTCTGGACCGTACTGACGATTGTGGTCACGGAAGAACAGGTTCAAAAAGTCCACTGTGTGAGGTTTGACCTTGAGGCGGAGCAAAAGGCGTCTGATTTGAGGATGCTCGATTTGCAAAAACAGGCCAGAAGTAGGCTCTTTCTTGGATGTGAAGACCAGATTTTGGTTGGCTCTGGGATCAAGTGTCCGTACTGGAGACCTCTGCTTCTTAGGAGCAGCATCGTCCAGTTCCCTTCTGCCGAAAGTAGCTCTGTTGATGGTGACTGGAGGACTCTCTTTTGTCTTTTCTTTCTTTTCAGAGGCCTGTTTCTTGGATGATGTGAGGAGGGTGTCAAAGATACTCGTTTGGCCTTTCTCGGGCTCCTTCTCCTTCTTCTTTTCGACATTTTCAGAATTGACAACCTTCGTTGGTTCTTGCTTTTGCGCATCTGAGATGGACTCCAGTGATGGCTCTGCGGTAGATTCAGCAGGCTCTGGAGCTGGTTCAGATGTGGCATCTGGCTTTGAAGAGAAGTAGGAAATGAGTTCAATTTCATCGTCCGACTCATCCTCCTCCTTGCATGATCCACTATTGCTCTCATCTGGCGGTTGTTTCAGATGAAGCTCCAAGAGTAAATCAATGAGCTTCTTGCGCATCAACAACCGTTCGCCAATGTTGAAGTATCCTCTTGAATTCTTTGGCATCTTTCTCCACATTCTCTCGCATACCACAGGTTCACTGAGCCACTTACCAACGTTGCAAATGACATGGATACCGCAGTCGTTAAAATTGCGCTGTTGAGGTACTCTAGCATTCGTGAATTTGATCATGTCAGCAGGAATGGGAACGCCATAGGTGTCTTGGGCGTATTGGTCGATGATTTTTCTGAGGGGCTCCTCGATATTAGGATGGCGATGGCGGAGGGAGTCAAAGACAAATACCTCTGAGACTGGGTCAGGCTTCTTGGGTGACTCGTCCGCAGATGGTCCTTTATTTGATCTGTCTTCTTCCTGTTCCTTCTTCTCTGCTATTTGACGACGCTTTGCAGCTCGTAATAGCTTAGGGAGATCCTTGATTATGCAACAGTACCAATGCAAATGCTCGTTTATGGGGATGATAACGGACTGGTATGACATGAGGTCAACCTTGCTTAGCCAACGCTGGATGTTGGCGTAGTAGTCTGGAGGGCCCTCCTGATCCTCAGGTTTGGACATGAGCTTTGTGAAGAAGAAGGAGTTGAAAGCGTAAACCTCATCTTCTCTCACCAGCTTGAGCTCGGAGACAGCCTTGTCTATCTCGTAGGCGATGAAAAAGTCTATAAGTGTGTCGTTAATCCAGTCATTATTGTATAGCGTTTTGAAGTCGTTGTAGGCGATGGCAAACTTCTTTCCATTTGCTAAAGCATGCTTGAGAGGTGGGTCGAACGGAGCTGGTACCTCTTGCTCCTTGGGTTCATCATCCTCTCCTTCTATTAGCATTTCTCCGTTGTCACCCATGGAGACGGCCTTGAACTCGGAATCTTGCAGGGCTGATCGCGTTGCTGATCTAGTGGCCCTGCCGTCGAGTCTCTTAGTAGGTGTCGGTAGGCTCGGTAGGCCGCTTTTAAGTACCAGATCCGGTGATGAGCGACCAGTAGGAGGTTGAGTTTCGCTTTCGGAACTCTCATTATGGTCAGACTCCACACGAACGAGCGTCTGTGGGTCTTTGTTGAGCAGCTCTCTCAGCTTCAAGATCTTGGAATAAATATGGTCAATGTTGTCTACTCTGGAGACAACACAATCAGGGCCCCAGCGGGCCTCGTTTTGCTGAAAGAATCGTAGAAGGTGCTCGTCGTCCCGTGGCTCGTACCTGACCATGATCTGGCCAAAGCGTTTGTGCAAAATGATCAAGAAGCAGTCCATCAGAGGGCTGAACAAGATCTTGTCGATGGTGTTTCTCGGAACGGCCATCTTGTCCACGAATGCGTTGTCGTAGCAGAAGAACAAATGGTCTTTGTTTCGAGAAATCCGAAACTCAAGCGCCCGGGTCGAGCTCTTAATGCTGGTGTCGTTGTACTGAACCGACTTGATGTTCCAGGTATGCAAAGGCTTGTCGTTGAGGCCGTTCTCAACAATCGAAAGGGGCAAGAAGAAACAGCTTTTCATTTCGTTCAGGCGGTGCTTGGTGTCCAAGGAATTCGGGCTGACCACACATATCGTGCCTCTGTTAATGGTTGTTTCGTCTGGGATGCCTATTTTCTTCACTTTCGGCAGAAGTAGGTTTTTCGGCTGCACGCCCAGCAGAACACGTTTTCGCAACAGCGAGAACTCCTTCCGTAGCAGCATTGTGGGTGCTGCGGCGTGGTATGGAGGAGGTTTTTGAAGAAAGCAGATGTGATCCAGGGAAAATAAGCAGTAGTGGGAGGCCCTGCAGGACCAGGCAACATCACCAAGCAGAAAACGGTGGAGGTGGATAAGGAGGCAGGCGTTTTTAGGGGAGGGTTTTTGGTAATCTTGAATAAAATATACGTTGGCTGAATTTTGTGTGTTTCGGTGTTTGGGGAGGTTTGTGGTTTGTGTTTCTGGAAGCATTGGTGCGAGGTCAGTCAATGTGTGATTTCATGCAAGGTGGGGGTCATGAAAAGATTGATAATGAACATATATAATGAGATTTGAAGGATCGGTGCAAAAGATTGAAATGGCTCTTTTGTTGTGTGTGTGGCCCTTTTGGGGATACAGATGTGGAGATGGTGGCTGCGAAAGGAGATAAGCTTTGCCTATACGCTTCGCATGTTATTGATCTCTTGATTGGGATGGTGTGTATTCTTTATTGATTGGGTTTCTTACTGACCAATCTGTGTTATTTAAGTGGAAAAATTGGTTTGGTAATTGGTTTGGTTGGATCAACGTCTACTATTAGGGCTTCATGTGCATGCAGAGTGACTATTGCAAGGCGAATTAGGGTACTGTTGGATGGCCGAAAGACCTCAAAACCAAAAGAATCTAGAGCTGTAAAGGAATGAATGTGTAGAAGAATGAATGTGAGCTTCAAATTGCCATCTGTGCTATATCTTGGTGTGACTAGTAAGTCAAGTCACAATGAATGATCCACGAACTACCAACAAAACAGTAAGTTTAAGTGCAATTCATTAGTCACATCTATTCATTGAGTGAAATACGGAACCACAAAGCTGCCCATAATCAAATCTAGAGTGATCCATCCATATACGTCAAATCCATTGTCTATTGTCTTTGGCTGCGAAATCTTGTAGAATCATTGGCCAACAATAGAACTCATTGCATGGGGCACCAAGATCAAGACTGAGACACTCTTGAAATTTTGCTGTAGCTAGCTATACCAGCTATACCAATGGAAGCATCAATTAAATAGAAGATGATCTTTTTCATTCTTCAATTCTTCAATACTTGGCTCTACTGTATGCTCACTACCATGTTAGTAACTGGAAGCAATTGTGACACCCACAAAACGCCACCATAAATCAAATTTCATCATAGTACTCTATTGCCTCAAAATAATCAATCAACCACCCAAAAAATCCAAATAATGGCCACTTATTCCCAAAATAGTGTCACTTTCAAATCCCACCACGTGACCTCACCTCGTACTCAATTCCACTCATTCATACTACCCCACCATCATGTCCATACTCAGAAGATTCACCAGACTCACTACTCCCGTGCTTGCCTTTGGCGCCGGGCTTGCATTGTTTCCTGCGGAGTGGCGAAAATCCAAATTCCAGCCCGCCAAGTTAACCCACTTCAATAAGGATGCCTTGGACAAGATCTCCAAATCAGACCTCTTCCAGCAGCTAAAAAGCGATCCAAACTACAAAATGTACTACAACAGTCAAAGCTTTCCTCAGCAGCATCACAAGAACTTCGTCAGCAGGGGCATGCTTTTCGGACCTGACCTTTTCGAGGTTGACCCCGTCGTGTTCTTGAACGAGTCATCAGGTGAACTCACTGCTTTCTACCATTTGGGTAAAGAACTCGTAAGTGGGGACGGCATGCTTCACAATGGCATCACGTCTACCATTTTAGACGAGGGGCTCTGCGCCTGTGGATTCTCGAAGCTTCCGTCAAAAAAAGGCGTCACCGCTAATCTTTCCATAGACTTCAAGAATCAGGCGCAGCCACAGAGCACTGTGGTGTTACGGGCACGCGTCGAGGAGGCTAAAGGCAGGAAGGTTGTGATCAAGGGCAACCTTCTGGTGTTCCCAACCAGGATTGGCGAAAAGCCGATGGAGATTGCCTCGGCTAAATGTGTTCTAGTAGAGCCCAGATGGTTCAAGTACTTTCGGTGGCTACAAATTTGAGGCGGTAGCAAGAGTCTCGGAAACATGTGCCTCGACAGGTGCATTTGCCACAATTGGGGTTCCTGAAATGGTTCCCAAACAAGGCATTTGCGATTCACATGTTCCAAATTAAGCACGGACCAGGGCCGATTGCTGACACGTATTGTTTACGAAAGGACTCTTTGGATGCGTGCAGGGTCTAAGCCGGGAAGATGTTGCTTCGTTGCCTTTCAACGGTGTTGATGTTGCTCTTGCTACCAGCACGACAATTGAGGGTTTCCAACTCCACCAGGTCAATTGAACCAGAGGTTCCCACAACTGCAAAGGGGTAAATCAATTGGTCCAGCAGCGCCCTGGTGACGCAAAAAATGACCTAGCAAGCGGCCCGCTATTGCTTGCTAAGTGCGTGGAAGTCACTCCTCATGTTGAATAGAGCACCCTGCACAAGCACAGGGGGCTAAAAGGTTGCTAAAGTTAAAATCGCAAGGTCCACCCAGGGAATATAAATACGGCTGTGATTTCGTCGATTCTTTTTCCTCATCAAATTCAATCAATTAATCATGTCTGACACTGGCCGCAAAGATATCTCCGACAAAATTTCCTCCGCTGTGAAGCCTGACTCTCAGAAGTCCACCACCGAGTTGGCTAAGGACAAGGTCACCGACACCGTTGACAACACCGTTGGCGACAACTCCAGATCCGGCGACAAGTCCTTCATCCAGCAGGCCTCTGACGCTGTCTTCGGCGAGAAGAAGGAGTAAATTCTGATTGACTCAGATTTCGCTATTTAGCAATACAATACTTCTATAAATTGAGATGTGTAGAAACCAGTAATTAACAGGTTTGGAAGGTCGTATGCATGCATGGCTGTACGACAATTGTCTGATGATATCGTATAATGTGATATAGTGGAATGAATCGAAAGATCAGGCACGACTAAGTGATTTGCAGCCATTCCTGTATATAATGACCTCTAAAAATGGGAAGATGCCGTTCATATCAAAGCTCAAGGCATTCTAGAAACGTCAATTGCAAAAATACCTGCTTTGGTAGTCAACCTTACATACAGCGTCACGAAGATAACTCAGGATAACTCGACTTATAGTCTGACGTCCTGCATATATGTAACATCAACACAATACGCGTCTGGATCTGAATATTCCTTCAAACCTAACCACCATGACTACTTCTACCAATCCGGCAGAACAAGCCTATCTCGACTTATGCAAGCGTATCATTGATGAAGGCGAGAAAAGACCAGACAGAACCGGTACCGGTACAAAATCACTCTTTGCTCCACCCCAGTTGAGATTCGATCTTTCAGACGACACTTTTCCACTTTTGACTACCAAGAGAGTCTTCTCCAAAGGTATCATCCATGAGTTACTCTGGTTTGTAGCCGGTTGCACTGACGCCAAGGTTCTTTCCGATAAGGGTGTCAAGATCTGGGAGGGAAATGGATCAAGGGAATTCTTGGATAAGTTGGGTCTTACTGATCGCCGTGAAGGTGACCTAGGTCCCGTCTATGGCTTCCAATGGCGTCATTTCGGTGCTGAGTACAAGACATGTGATGATGATTACTCAGGACAAGGCTTTGATCAGCTTCAAGACGTTATTCATAAGTTAAGAACGAATCCATACGACAGAAGAATCATCATGTCCGCCTGGAACCCACCTGATTTTGCAAAAATGGCCTTGCCTCCATGCCACGTCTTCTGTCAATTTTACGTCAACTTCCCCAGCAGCGAACCTGAGGCCAATTCGTCTAAACTGGCAAAGACCGCCAGACCCAAGCTTTCATGTCTCCTCTACCAGAGATCCTGTGACATGGGTCTTGGTGTACCTTTCAACATTGCTTCATACGCTTTGTTGACCAAAATGATTGCCCATGTTGTCGACATGGATTGCGGAGAATTCATCCACACCTTGGGTGACGCTCATGTGTACTTGGACCATGTCGAGGCCTTGCAAACCCAATTTGAGCGCGAGCCAAAACAGTTCCCCAAATTGCACATCAAGGAGTCCCGCAAGGCGGAGATCACCGAGATAGATCATTTCAAGTTCGAAGACTTTGAGATTGTGGGCTACGAGCCTCACGCCTCCATCAAGATGAAGATGAGTGTATAATATTTCACTTAGCTAACCACCCTCCTGCGCTTTGACCGCCTATTAGTCTGCGCTAAGAGATCATCCTGCTCGACAAAGTCAAAAACAGCATCATCATCGTCGGATTCCATGTTACCCTTGCTGGTGATGTTGGACAATGGGGCACGTCTGCGGCGTCTGGTCCTCCTGACGGGCTCTTTCTTAATTTCTTTGGGCTCCTTCGAAGGGGATTTGCTTCTGGTTCGGGAATGAGGAGCTCCCAAGTCTGGAACATTCTCAATGTTCTGGCGATCTGGCGAGCTTTGTTTGACAAGAGAGCTGTTCTTTGCAAGAGGCGAAGTCAAGTTGTCGTCCAACAATTCAAACAGGTAGTCTGCGTCCTTAGCAGCTTTTTCCTTCTGGTCGTCATAAATTGTGATTTTTGTCCCCAACTCCGGTGCGAGGCGCTTCCGTAGCAGGCTTTCCTTGATAGAAAGAGCAGTAGATTCCAGCTCTGAGCTCCATGGCCTGGTATTGGGGGCGCCCCAGGGAATGCCCAACGATTGTGATTGGACAGATGTTTGTGGTTGGGACGGAATGCTTGACAGCTTCTCTTTCTCAGGGAGATTTGCCTCCTTCCGGAGTTGTTTGATTGCTGATGCTGTCTCCTCACATTTCTTGAAGAACGCTTCCTCAAAGTCGTTTAGTCTCTTCAAGATGGATGCTTGATCGGGTCTGGCTGTAAACTCCTCACGCAAAGCATCCATTTCCTGAACTAGCAACTCATTCCGTTGCTCTGACTGCCGAATTGTGGCTTCCATTTGCTCGACTTTGGCTCTAAGTGCTTCCAATTCTTGCTGCTTTGGATCACCGCTATCTTCGTGCATCAGCTGCCGCCTCTCTTTTTGTCGAAAAAATTCGTTGCTTACGGACACTCTAGCCATTATATATAGTTTGTGGTATATTCTTTTTCGTGACACTCGCCAGATCTCGGAAGTGTAAACACTCGTAGTGCATATTGCATTCGAATGATTCCCTGCTTGCGCATTTCATGCAGTTTTATCACAACACTCCTACAACCACCTCCTTCGTGATGAAAAGCTCTGTTCAAGCAGCCATTGAGGAGAAGAGGGAAGAGCTCCTGCAACTTAAAGTGCTCAACAAGTACACGTATGATCTTGTTTTGCAGTTAGAAGAAATACAGGAGAAACTTCTGACGATGGGCGATGGTGTGGAGAGCGTCGCTCTTATTTTGTCGAACTGGCAGAACGTCATAAATTCCATCAGTCTAGCGTCCATGGGGGTCATGAAGTACTCTTCAAAGGATTATAAGGAGACACAACCCTTACCTGAAACATTGGTGAGAATCAAGCTCGACAAAGACAATGAAGAAACCGAAAATTAGCGCGTCACTTCTGATTTGATGCTGTCAACCCAAAGATTAAGGGACAAATCATTGACAAGCCTGACAAGTTCAGCTTGCAAAGGCTGCTCTGTTGGATGGTTGTCCCGAAGAAGGTTATCGAGAATGCTGTACAAATCGGTCTTGTCGTCCAAGTTTGACAAAGTATAGAACAAGACCAGCTCGTGAACGCGTGCTTTGTTGACATCATCAGTATTTTCACTAGTGGCCGTAATTCTGGCCCAGTCATCGGTCAGCGTCAAAAGGGTCAACCAAATTTTGGCGACCTGCTCACGGAACTCAGCATCGTTTCCGATGGATGAAGCGACTCTGAAAGCATCGACAAATACACGTTTCAATTGCCCTGTGGGGTTCACTCCTAGAAGTAACGCTATGAGCTGAGCCTTGGTGAGAACCTTCAGATCCGCAAATCTTTGGAAAAAGGGTTCCAATTTTGGAAGCACATTGTCACGGAGCTTGGGGTTGACAAAGTTTTGTGAAAAATAGTCAAGCGTTATCAACTCTTTTTTGTTTTGCACGAACAGTGAGATTGTCTCATGGAGATGATTCTGAACCCTCACAGCCACAAGATTGTTTTCAGCCTTGATGATGGATTCATCAAGATCCATTGCGTCAGGAGAAGCAGGCAGTTGGAGTTTGGCAGTGATTGCCGTGAGCTTCGCGAGAGAAAGACTCAACTCTCTATTCTCTTGATTATCAGTCTCCTCCCTTGCTGCAAGTGAGTTGAGAATCTTTGATGCGTTGCCGAACTCTTGCCTTTGCAAGCTGTGAATCCAGGCGACTTGTGCAAATCTTTTCGAGTTCGATCTCAAAAATTGATCAAGATATTCATCTGCATCTTTGAAATTTAGAAGAAGACGCTGAATCTGGTTTGTCTTGATGTAGTGCTCAAATAGCTTAGAAGCGAATTCATACCCGTGAGCATCAATGTACTGACGGAGCTTGTAGTCAACGATCTCACTTGATGTACTATCCCTTTCATTCTCCAAGATGTAAGCCAATGACGAGAAGTCATGAAATTTCTCTGCAATTGCCAGGGCCTCCTCGGTGAGGCCATGTTTCAACAATGCTGAGACCCACTTCTTTCTGTTTGTACGGAACCACTTCACATGAGACTCTAGTTCTGAATCATCCGAGTCTTGCATGCTTTGAATGGCCCTGGTAGTGATGTAGTAAAAGGATTCGGTGATGCTGACCAAGTCTAGTCTGTCTTGAGTACTGAATGACTCAAAAGTTTTATTGTAGGGGCCGAATGCTTTTTCAAAAGAGGAAGCGGCAGCTTCAATCAAGTCCGACCTCAAGATCCAAAGCTTGAAAGGATTGATTTCGGGTACATCAGAAATGTATCTCGCCTCATTTTTCAACACACCCTCATAGAGCACGCCCACAAGTATTTTGACAGCCAAACGATCGGAATGGTTGGAGCCTTGAAGAGACTTGAGAAGCTCGGCCACAAGAAAGTCGACTTTTTCGGCCTCGTAGGTGAAGAATGCCCGTGCAATATCGCTAGAGT